AGTTTTATTACGTTACATATGATAAGAATAGTTTTAGCTAAGAAAGTTTTATTTTTCTAATAGGGTGACTGTGATGGATGTAGTTAATTTAGGGAGTTTAAGGGAGGGCTTGATAACTATATATTTACTAATCATCAGGGCTGACTTTGAATGTTTTATTTTAAAGTTTAGTTCAGTGGGTGGGACGGCCTAGATAGACCAATAGGCCCCTTGTTGTCCTTTAACTATATGTATGTATAAATTACGAAATATGTCTCTATCGTCGTACCCTAAGAAACTGGAGTATATGTTTACTAGATGTATAACCTAAAAGATACCAAGATACATCATATGTAACGTAATAAAAATGGTTGTGTGTATCATTACACCATATGTCGCGTAATAAAAATGGTTGTGTGTATCATTACATCATATGTCGCGTAATAAAAATGGTTGTGTGTATCATTACATCATATGTCACGTAATAAAAAATTGGGATTTTCATGGACACACATGATGATTTTCAATATATCTGCTGTGGTATTTTTCTGCTTTAGTTGGCTTTTATGTTTAATTTCTGTAATGTTTATTGGTGATTAGAAAACATTTTAATACTAGAAATAAACGACCTCATAACACCAAATTATTGTTTTTCTTTAATTGGACAATCAACAAATCCGGTTATTCAGGACCGTTAACTAAAACACAAACAACCGTAACTAAATAAAAACAATAATTTGGTGTTACAAGATTGTTTATTTCTAGTATTCAAAAGTTTTATTTTTGTTTAAACGTAAAACTGCACTTGGACTTTTTGAGCTGTGCCCAACCTACAGGTAGAACCACAAATGTTAGCAATATAGGTCTTAAGTAGGAACATAAGTTGGCCAGTTGGTGAATTCTACACAGTGGTTATCAATCATTCACTCCACAGTTTCTTTTCCACCCCCACCCGAGTCCATTCTTTGCCATCGTCCATCAATATTCTTCTCTACATGCCCCGTGCTATCCACCTTTCCACAGAATATCTATTTCTGAAGATATTTGTTTCTGTATGCACATACAATGCTAGTTTCCACTTCGTTGGGCATTCACAATGTTGTTGTTTTCGTTTCTGACTTAATATGTAAGCACCATTTTGTTTTTTATGCTTCGTTAGGCATTCGCCTTGATGTTGTTTTTGTTTCTGCCTTAGTATGTACGCAAAATGTTGTTTTTGTTTCTGCCTTGGTATGTAATCACCATGTTGTTTTTGTGTGTGTCTTGGTATGTAATCACCGTGTTGTTTTTGTTTCTGCCTTGGTATGTAATCACCATGTTATTGTTTTTGTTTCTGCCTTGGTATGTAATCACCATGTTGTTTTATTCTGCCTTAGTATGTAATCACCATGTTATTGTTTTTGTTTCCGCCTTAGTATGTAATCACCATGTTATTGTTTTTGTTTCCGCCTTGGTATGTAATCACCATGTTATTGTTTTTGTTTCTGCCTTAGTATGTAATCACCATGTTGTTTTATTCTGCCTTAGTATGTAATCACCATGTTATTGTTTTTATTCTGCCTTAGTATGTAATCACCATGTTGTTTTATTCTGCCTTGGTATGTAATCACCATGTTAGTTTTTGTTTTTGCCTTAGTATGTAATCACCATGTTGTTTTATTCTGCCTGGGTATGTAATCACCATGTTGTTTTATTCTGCCTTAGTATGTAATCACCATGTTGTTTTTCGAAGTTTATGATTACAAAATGGGAAATTGATCGATAATCATTTTTCTGAAACGCTAATTCGATGTAGAGTACAACTAGTCTGTTTTTTCAGAGACAGAATCTAAGCAACAGTACTTTCAAGTGAAGCCGTCTGACACAGAGGTTATCGAAGGTCTTACTGCCATGCTCCAGTGCCAAATAAGAAACTTAGCAGGAGCTGTACAATGGAGTAAGGATGGTTTCTTGCTGGGTAAGTGTTTTCAGCAGCACAAACTAACTTCATTGTACTAAGGTATGGAATGTCATTTTACATACTCATCAAGTAGGTATTTGACGAAATGAAGGTTTTGAAATTACTATTCTTATACTTCCTTACAGCTAATGTTAAAAAAATCGGTATGCTAATACTAAACACCAGGAAATCCACCACGTCTTCAGTTATGATGAAAACTAACTTGGAATTGATAATGTTGATGCACAACTTGTTTGTAGTTATTTGTGAGAATGGTAGGAATAGGGAATGTAAATATAAATTTTGAAAAGATGGCAAGGGAAACAAGAAAAACTTTTGCGGGTGTTATCCTATTTCAAAAGTATGTGTATACGGGTTGGTTGTTTGTTTGTTGGAGCAAGTTTAAAAGTTTTTGAGATTTGAAGCAATAACCATTCGCTTTTGTAGCAAACAAATAATGTTCGTATATTTTAATGTTTCCTAAACCTCATGTTCCTAGTTAATAGTATTTTC